AAATWAATCTGTTCCTCGTTTTGAAAGACATATTGGACCATGATGAGCATGATTATTGCATTTAAGTTCAAAAATAATTTTTTGTCATACTTTGTGCTTTATATCGAAAGTTTAATATTACCGATGTCGGCTAAGGCATTGGAAAACTACTTTTCGTTCATCGAACAGTATATAAATACTATAAATGCGATTTCTATATGAGCGGAAATGAGAAAATCCCATTATGTAGTTAAGTAAATTTCTGTCTATACCAGATTTATATTATTCATGAACGTATCGATAAGTTTTGTTTACATAGATACTGAAGTTGGATATCAGTAGGTGGGTTATTACTTATTTTTATTTTTATTACCATATAGTGTTCTATGAAAAGGTTTCACACCCAACCTGCGAAAGTTACAGAGAAACATGTTTAAGAAATATAAGAGGAGCGAAAAAACTTACATAGGTATAAAGAATAAATATGAATTACTATTTGAAAATAAATAATTTTAAATTTATTAATTRCATACAAAAATAATTTGGAAAAATTGTGTGCTAAGATAAGAACTTTCTAAGAATTTTCGTAAATTATTTATTGTATATAAAAAACCAAGTAATTAATTTACCTTATACATTATATCCAATTACATTAAGCTAATAAAAATTATAAAGTATAATACATAAGTGATAACTTATAGGTATTATTTGCAATCATAGACACAATCAGTTATATTTTTTAATATATCTATATTAAATATAAATATATTTATATTACATTATTACCTACGTTCAACAGATTAAGTACCTATATGGAATATTATGCTCATACATATTTTGCAAAATTACAAAAATAAAATAAATCAAACGAATTTTGCATTCCTAACTAGGTAGTGTAYATACCACTATGTATACCTATACTGTAGATTAAAATTTGAATCTTTTATTAAAGAACACTTATAATTTTAAGTTTTAACACATTCAACACCGGCGACGCGTATACGTGTTTTGTAATTATTATTATTATTATATA